TCAACATCAAATCAACCAAATAACTTAATCAATATTAAAACACAACCAAATCACCATGATTATCAAACTTCAAAATCCACCATGACCTAGAATCAAACTCCAAAAATCATTGGTTTAAATTCAAGTTTATTTCCTTAGTTATGCTCGAAATCACCCAAGGAACCTTCTCTGAGCTTCAAAACATCAAATAAATCATCATTTCTTCATGGAAGTGAACAGTACCTGCGGCCATGGACGAGAGAAATCTCATGAACTAGGGCCTCTCAAGGTGAATAAAAACTAGGGTTATGCTCCTTAGGTTCTAAGCTTCAATTCTTGTCAAAGGAGCTAGACTTAAAAGTGAAGGAATAAGGAAGTAGGATCTTGAAGCAAACAACCATTGAGGTCTCTCTCTCACTCACGGTTTCCAGCAACTCGAAGGGAAGAAGATGAAGGATTTAAAAGATCTTCTAAGTCTTATAACTTAAACTAGTTTGACTTTGACCACCATTTTTTAAAATTGCAAAATGGTCCTTGTATTTTCTTTACTTTATAACTTAACCTAGGCACATTGTAACGCCTCGTCTGCAGCCAGTTAATTAACATTCATATGATAGTAAGCGCAACATGCTCAACTTAATTAATGTGAAAGCTAACTAAATAATTTTTTTCTTTTTCCTTATGTATTGCAAACTTTTTCACTTACATAGCCAAAATAAAATGAACAACATTTCGTCTGTATTTTGAACCACCGGAGATAATTCCCACCATGATAATTTATACCCGATTGACAGTTTAATATAATCCAGGCATACCACAACATAGATAAAACATATTGTCTAGCCATCCATGGCCTAGGCTATCTCATAATCATATTGTCTCAAAATAATGTCTATGATGTTACTTATATAATTACATCAAATAAACAAAAGAGATGCAATTAAATAAGTAACATAGACCTGAACATGCATTACTAACAGTATATACAGACTATCGACATGGCATAGACATCTCTTATGCTCTCAAAAAAATAGATGACATATTCAACTCAAAATAAAGTATGTCAGGTACAAATCTAAATATCCACAAGATCTTGGCAATCATGTCAAGTAGTGTCTCTCATCTGGCCTATTGCCACGCGATGCCTCAACACCATCAGCTCCTGTACCTGAAATGGTGATCCCCATAACGCGGTGTGAGATAATATAATTATCTCAGTAAGCTATGGACCCTTGGAGGGCTCCTCCACCTTTAAGCTCACTTCTGGTATAAACACAATATAAAAATTCATACATGCATCAGAATATGTATGACAATGCAGTGTGCAATAATGTAATCCTATTGGCCAGAGAATATAACAAGTATGCATTACGCAAGGAAACACAGTCTTGCAACATACCGTATGAGGAAACATTGTCTCGTACTATGCATAAGAAAATACTATCTTATGCCTCACACAAGAAAACATCGTCTTGTGTGACACATAAACACACATACATATAACACGTTAAATGGTTTTTTTTTATTCCGTATATTGAGTCTATCATTCTATATGCAATTTAAAAAAAGAAAAGAAAAAAACGATCGGTAGCATGTCATGTTCCTAACTCATTTAGTCTATTATCTGAGATTCGTTTCTTATTTAATTTAATTTATATCTTGTGGCAGCAAATTTTGTTTTATTAGTCTATAGTGAGAATATATCCAAAATTTGTTTTTCACAAACCAAAAGGGGAAAATATATCCAAGTAGAAATTTAACTGATAAGGGCTGTTCCAAATTAACCGTGATTTTGAGTTTGAGTCATGGCAAACGAGAAAACTTTGTGATTTTGAGTTCAGTGAAAGGGTAATTTATTTATATTATGATTCATAGGCGGATTCTTAGTGATTAAAAATTTGTACAGGATTACGAAATGGTAATAGCTCAGTTGGCGCATGAGAGCTAAGCAGGTGTTAGAGCATGTGTTCGAATCTCCCCAGTACTACCTTTGGGAAGGGCTGGACCTGCATCAAATCGGATTAGTTGTGAAGCAATGAACCTATTAGAATATTTCTAAAAATAAAAATAAAAATTGCAAAGGATCTGTCTATATATCCTAAAAATAAATAAACTATAGATATACTGAACTTCAATGCATGGGTAGAATAGAAGATTTTTCCCACACAAACATAGTGAAAACAAACCGTATTAAAACTTGATAGAAAGAGTTTTGTCGCATATATTGAAATCGGAAAAGACACTCCAAAAGCTAAAAATATATTGGAAAACAAAAAAAATAAAAATAAAAACAAAGAAGAGAGTGTAATTGACATTTGGGGTGGTGTGGTTTGACGTGTCCTAAAGCTAAAAGGATTGTTTCACTCCTTTCAAGCATGTCCAGTTCAAAACCGAAAGGCCAAACGGTTGCTAGTTTTTGTCGATGTATATACAAATTGGTAACCAATCATTTAGCACCTTAATCCCTTCGTAATCCTTAATTATCTTCCAATTAACCAACTTAATGATGTAGGTTATTATAACAAGAATATTGAGTTCCCCAAAATTGGATACCACAAAATTTGCTTGAGTAATTACACTTCCACCATTAGTCACATGCATTTGTTATATTTTTCATTTCCATGCGTCTTTTATATTTGTCGGTTGTTGTATTTGAATATATCACAGTTATACAAATAGATAGTTGCTAAAGAAAAATTGACATTGCATGATCTATGGCCTCTGTTCATTATCCTAATATTTTAGTTTTTTAATTTTAATTTTATCCAATAATTTTTTAATAAATTAAAAACTAATACTTAAAGAGATGAAAGATTAAAATAGTATAAATATAACACTCATTGAAAATTTTGTTTGCTTTAGATAAAAAATTAAGAACTTTACACCATCTAATCCTAATTTAAGTACATATCAAAAGCACCCAAAAACATAACAATATTCATCATAATTTTCATTTTTCATATCGAGGCGTTGAAAGCTTTTATTGGATAACAAATTCTAATGAAAATTGAACAGAAACCCCCATATTTGCAATTATCAGAACAACAACTTATCATCTAGTATGATATTTATGCTATGCATATGCATTTTCATTTCTCATATGTACACATGTACTTTTCCTTTTTGTTAATCTATTTCTACTTTATGTTAGTAACTGATAATAGAGTTAGTTAGTTAGAGTAAAATTAGTCAGCTAAAGTAATTTATTAATAGTTCGTAGCTTATGTATATGCATTACAGGTTGTATCAGTTAATATAGAATGTAATTCAATTCATTCAATGATTAAAAAACTTCTTCTCTTCAAGATGGTATCGGAGCTCTTAGGAGCCCTAATATTGATCCACTTTTCTCTCTCTTTTTCTAAGCTTTAGATTCATTTTATAGCAATCCAAACACGAATAACTAGAGCTCGATTCCTGAATTCCTTACCAATCTAAGGAATCCATTTTTTTCCTTTATCTCAATGAAAACTCAGTCAACCCTTGTCTTTGTTTCAAATGGATGAGAAGAATTTATCATACGTGGATAGGAGCCGCAGCGATGGCACTTTATTCCAAGAGTAGGCTTGGATTTGTGAATGGAAGCATTGTCCTTCCCGTGCCTTCTAATCCTTTGTTTGATGCTTCGGGAAGGTGCAATACCAAGGTCTTATCATGGATCCACCGTTCATGTCAAATTCTATTGCGCTATCAGTTCTTTGAATGGATACAATCGTAGATAAGTTATTATTTTAATAGCAATGGTCATACACCCCTTGAACTTGTTCAATTCCATCTCTCAAAACAAGTTCAATGAGTATTTTCAATTTTAATGATTGCGAGGTTAAAAAATTCTTTATGATTTATTTTAAAATCACTTATCCCATGTGTTTTTTTAATCACTTATTTCCCCATTTTTTTAATAATTCACAAAGGAAAAATAGAGATATTAGTCCAAATTTTAAAAGTGTTATAAGTAAACTTCGATAAAAAAAAAATAAAGTGATAAAAAATAAAGCGTAGATAAGTGATAAAAAAAAAATTAACCAAGTGAGGTTTTTGAATTTTTCTCTTTATCAATCAAATTAATTTATAAGATTAACAATTTCAAATATATAATAATAAACTTATATGAGAAATATTATACTTACAACCTATTATTGTTTACAACCTCTTATAACCATATCTTAACCAATATTTATGCTAATCAACCGTTATTATTTATTATGAATTAATAATTAATTAATAAGTTTGATTTACAAAAATAATAATCATTGATCGGTGAAAATCAACGGTTAAGATATGATTATAAGATGTTGTAAACAAAAATAGGTTGTAAGTATAACGTTGCTTAATTTATATTGTTAAAAAAATTGATTTCTCAAATTATAAATTATTAATGGGATAAAATTTATTACTACAAAATAATATTATTATCAATGTTATTATCATATCTTAACGATTAATTTCTGTTAATATTATTATTTATTGTGAATTAATAATTAATTAATAAATTTAATTTTAAAAATAATAATCATTGATTGATTGACGAAAATCAAGATCAAATTATTAATGGGAAAATATTATCTTGTGCTGTAGGAGAGTATTTTTCTCTCCTACACATACATCGACTTCCGTGTTACTTTTTTTTCTTTTTCTTTAAGTGAGTGGATCTCACTTATAACTATCTTTATGATATAAGAGAGCTTCTCTTATGTCACGTGAGATTAATAAAGTACATTATTAATATACTTTATTCTTTACATCCGGAGTTAAATTATCCACCTCCGACTCATAGTGATTCGAGACCTTTTAAATTAAAGAGTTTGTCCAAATAAGAACCGTGACAGTAAGACAGAGTTACTATACAGCTGAGCAAAAATAAAAATAAAAATGGTGAAAAGCAAGATCTTTACAAGATCCATAAATTAGTCCACACTACGTGATTAGCAAGGCGTGTCCCAAATAGAAAACTGAAACCATCCATTTTTTTGTATGTATATATTACTTTAACTCTAACCCCAAGCCGGCCTACAGTGTCTATCTATTTCTCAACTTTCTGACATCTCCCAAACAACACTCGACCAAAAAAAAAACAAAAAAAACCACAAACTGTGACATATGCGAGAATAATGCTCACGAGCATATATCTTCTACCTCCTTTTCCATTTCCCTTTTCGCTCTAACAATTCCATAACCTCAAATCCTTCACTTCACTTCACTCTATCAAATACTCTGCTAATTTTTTTTTTTATTAAAAAAAAAAAAAAAACCTAGACCCTTCCGGTGAGGAAGGAATGACCACCACGACAAGTATTGGCGGCGGAACCGGCGGCGGAGGAGACGACCGGGTTCTCGCTACCGCTCAACAGATCTTGAAGAGTCTTAATACTGCCAAAGAGGATCGCCAAGACATGCTTTTAATCTTTTCCTCCTTCGACAACCGCCTCTCGGGCATTTCTGACCTCGTCAACGGCGAGGATTCAAAATCCTCTTCCGATGAAGACCTTGACCGATTCGAAGCAGCGGAGAAGGTCATTCTTGCAGATGCATCCCACTCTGGTGAACCTTCCCGCCAATCCACCTCGCTCTTCGATCCTCCGAATGGCCCCGTCGAGTACTTATCCGCCGTCGACGAGATCATCCTGTGGATGGAACAATTCTCGATCGCGCCGCCGCCGCCGCCGTCGTCGAGCGGGAGAATCCGCCAGGTCACAGTGGACCGCGCTGAGAACGCGATCCAGCTCGCGATGTCGAGGCTTGAGGAGGAGTTGCGCCACGTGTTGATTTGCAACACCATCCCTCTCGACGCCGTGAGCAGCTACGGTTCGATCAGGAGGGTTTCGCTCTCGTTCGCTTCGCACGACTGCGCAATCGACGAGAATCTAGGAAGCTTCGGCGAGGTCAGCGATCGAGGTTCTCATCGGTTTCACGAGCGTGGTGCGAGCTTGGGAGATGACGATTTGTTCGTGGATTTGGTGCGTCCTGATGCGGTGCCTGACCTCAGAGAGATCATCGATCGAATGGTTAGGTCTGGTTACGAAAGGGAGTGCCTTCAGGTTTATAGCAGTGTCCGTCGTGACGCTTTGGATGAGTGTTTGGCTACTCTTGGTGTTGAGAGGCTTAGTATTGAAGAGGTTCAGAAGGTTGAATGGAAGAGTTTGGATGAGAAAATGAAGAATTGGGTGCAAGCTGCTAAGGTTGTTGTTGGGGTGCTGTTGAGTGGCGAGAAGAGGCTGTGCGATACTCTGTTTGGTGATTTGGATGAGTTCAAGGAGATTTGTTTCAATGAGACTGCTAAAGGGTGTGTTATGCAGTTGTTGAATTTTGGTGAGGCCATTTCAATTTGTAAGAGGTCGCCGGAGAAGTTGTTTAGGATATTGGATATGTACGAGGCTTTGAGGGATGCTTTGCCTGATTTGCAGGCTATGGTTTCGGATGAGCTTGTGATCAGTGAAGCCAAAGGAGTGTTGAGTGGACTTGGTGAGGCTGCCAAAGGGACATTTGCTGAGTTTGAGAATTGTATTCGGAATGAGACTTCCAAAAAGCCAGTAGTAACTGGGGATGTTCATCCTTTGCCTCGTTATGTCATGAATTACCTCAAATTGCTTGTGGATTATGGTGACCCTATGGATTCACTTTTGGAAATCACTGAAGAGGATCTTTACCGTTTTCAGAATGATTTTGGTGGTGATGGTTCCCAGTTGGAGGCCATGTCCCCCTTAGGACGTCAAATTTTGTTGTTGATGTCTGAGCTTGAGTATAATCTTGTGGAAAAATCAAGACTTTATGAAGACAGTGCAATGCAACAGATATTTTTGATGAACAATCTCTATTACCTAGTGCGGAAAGTGAAAGATTCAGATCTTGGGAAGGTCTTGGGAGATGATTGGATTCGTAAACGCCGTGGTCAGATTCGCCAGTATGCTACAGGCTATCTCAGAGCCTGTTGGAGCAAGGCCTTGTCTTGTTTGAAGGATGAAGGGATTGGAGGGAGCTCTAGTAATGCCTCAAAGATGGCTTTGAAGGAAAGGTTCAAGAGTTTCAACGCATGTTTTGAAGAAATATATAGGATTCAGACAGCTTGGAAGGTACCAGATGATCAGCTTCGAGAAGAGCTGCGAATATCTATATCGGAGAAGGTGCTTCCTGCATACCGGGCATTCATGGGGCGGTTTGGTAGTCAGCTGGAGGGAAGGCATGCGGGGAAATACATTAAGTACACACCAGACGATCTAGAGACCTATTTGTCAGATTTGTTTGAAGGATCCCCTGCTGTATTGCATCACATAAGGAGAAAAAGTACATAGTATATAGAACAGGTGAACTCATTTTAAGAGGACTAGTTGAAAAAGATTTCCTGTGTCATATGTATCTTCTGCCTGGATAGATGTTTATTTTACAGGTCTTAATGTTAGCATTGTATTTTGTGAAATTCAACTCTCCTCCCAAGCCTCTTCCTGAGCAACCAAAAAAGAATTTTTGTTTTTCCTGCTGTAATATCTTTATATATATGCACAAGTCTAGTGTCTCACACAGCTTATCTATGTTATTGTCATTAATCACTATACTTGTTGAAATAATACTCTCAATCTTATAGCTACCTTAAATCCTGATCCTGTGTATTTACATATCTGCAATTTGTATAATTGTCAGTTTTCTATATATTGAAAGGACGATGGTTTTTTTACCTGGCATATACCATACTATTTGTGCATATTTTATGTTTAACTGATAATCGAAGCGAGGAAATAAGACATAGGTGTCAAAGAAACTGTATCTGCTCAAAGATTAAATTTTGCTCATGAAAAGGCTCCCTTGATTGTCAGAATGTTATTGATAATCCAAGAAGAGTTGGATGAAATAGATTAATAGGTATTATGATATTTTCTAAAGTATTGATGTGATGTGAGACCTGAGTTAGTCATTTGTTTTGGAGAAGTTATGCATTATTGAGTAGTACAATTATATTATTTGTTTATGATCTTGTGGTCTTGTAACAACTACTATCAGCACTGTTAGATGCTATATTTGTGCACCTTTTTCTGCAGAGTTTGAACTGCCTTGATTATATCTCAATTAGTAGCTCTGACTATGTGGATATGCTGCTGCGCCTTTGCCTCAAAGTTTTAACTTCGTCAAGAGTATTTACACTTGTCTGGGGATATGCCTTACTAATATATCAAATTCACTACTGTGTTAAATTTGTGGATTTTTTACTTATCAAAAGTTGTCTTGTTTTCCAGCAGTTTTACAAGCTAGAGATGGTTGCATGCTCATTGCATCTGCATTTTTTTTTTTTTTGGTATCCTATTGCATCTGCATTTTTATTCAGCTATTACTTTGCATTTATACTTTTTTTTGTAAATGGCCAAAACTGAAATGGTAATTTGTCTTTATTAAAGATATCTTTACAAGTGTTCATGTTTCAAAACAGTTTGGATAGCGTGACCCGCCAAAACAACAGGAATTGCTCTATCCTGAGCACGGTGAAGTAGCATGATATGGATGGTTATGTCCTCTTACTGTTTTCCTTTATCTCTCCACGGAGAGTTGCGATTGTAAGTTTGATTGCGCATCTATTATGAGCAAATCAAGATGAATGGCTACGGTACTACTATTCTTTGATGTGTTAACCGTCAAATTGAAATATCATGTTTTATATTACGAAAGAATCAGTCCTGTTTCAATTCTATTGGATTAATGGTTTGAAAGTAAGAACCTTTACATTGTGAGAAGGCATAATTCGCAAGCTTATCTAGCTAGCTGTCCCCATCCTACCCTGCTAATAGTCACAATTAGCATCAAAGTTGCATCTTGATTTGTTTAACTTCGTCACGGGGAAACGTTAACAGAACGTCGTTTTTCATCGTTTCCGCGTCAATGGTGCACTATCATTCGGACAATTGGTGGAGTCTTTGACGGAGGGGGAAAAAGATAGGGAAAGATGGTTTCAATGTAACTTCTCCGCTAGAGTAGTTTTCTTCGTTTCCTTGTTTTCACTTGTCAACCTTTTCTTTGTTTTTGTCAACTTGCTACGTCAACCTGACAGATGCAAAACATCAAGTCCCAGGTGTTTGGATTACCTGGCAAGAACAGTAAGTTACGTACGTTCCAAACCGACCATCGAAAAGAATGGGTCCATTTCATTGCTATAGGGTACCTGTTTTCCTGGCAACAACTGTGATTCCATTAAGCTCCCAGGCCATTGAACCTCATTTACATTTTCTGTATCTTAATAAGATATCAAGTGATATATTTGGTGCATCCCGTGCTATTCTAAATCATGATAAGGGAAACAAGGCGGAAGTGAAAAGAAATTGCATTTTAAAAGTTGACAAAACTTATGGTTACACCAGAATTTACAGTACATAGTCTCACTCTAACATTGGTTAAAACGGGTAGAAGTAACTTAAACTTCCTACGTTACAAAGACTTAAGTCCAAGTCTTCAACCCTGAAGAGAAGAACATAGATCTATTTGTATTCCCCACCCCAACCCCCCCTTTTCTTTTTTGTTCCTTAGAAAACTATTGTAATTTTTTTTAACCAAAAAAAAAAAAAAAAGCCTGCTGTAACAGCAGGTTATTCTTCCTCATGTCTTGCCTGTTAAACCCTGCTGTTTGGAGGTAGCGGGAGAACACCATCAAAGAAATCACCAAAATAGCCATGGGGTTCATGTACTAGCCTTGAGATGATATCTCTTAGTGTGATTAGTCCTTGCAGATTCTCATCATCATCCACAACATAGACCCTATGACTCTTCTCGTGGTCAAGCAATTGAATCAATTCTTTGGTTGTACAGTCCTTTTTGCAAGTAATAAATTCACTTGCCATTGGCAACGCTTTATTATTCTTCTTTAAGTAGCTTCTAACGGCAGTCAGGAAGTCCTTTACTGTAATAGCTCTGTTAAAAGTGTAAACATCAAATGAGTCTTAAGTAATGAAACAGATAGAACAACAAAAGAAAGAAGATATGGGCAATGCAGTCTAAACAAGCCCATTCTATGAGAATAAAAGTGATGACACACCTATAATCATGATAGATTTCTGGGGCAGTTAACAAGAATTGAACATCTCGCAAGCTTATACTACCAACTGCCCTACTGCCACCTCTTTCAATTACAGGCACCCCTCCAATCCTCTTTTTCCTCATTAATTTAAATGCTTGAAGGACTGGTTCATCCTCATAAACCTGAAAACAAGGAAACAATCTCTTGTGAAGTTCATCAAGATCAACAAGCTTAATAACTTATCCAAGTTCAGAGCATTTGCCATATATGTACACAAATTTAAGAAATGTAGTATAGCTTTTTCTCCACAAGCATTAAATTATGGAGAATTCAGACTTGACACGGTTCAATGCTCTGAAGAGCTTAAATTATACCATCTTAAGCATAGTGGATGAAATGCATGAACATGCAGACAAGGATGTATTTGTGAGGGTTGCAGGATCAGTGGATTATATTTACTATTGGCACGGCATTTGTAAGAAGGATTATGTTGGTATAATGAACAGTATGATAATGTTATACAGTATAGTATAGCATTATGCTAACCCCATTTTATATTGTTGCAATTGTATTGTTATATGCTTGACTGTTAAGTTTAGGTTTGATGCTAATACACACCAATTCCCATCAGTTGATGCAGAATTTCAACTTTAGATAGGTACCCACCTTGATGATATGTTTTGCTGTCACCAGGGGAAGACCAACTTCAGTTAAATTCTTGGTTCCCCAACTTTCAAACCATTGAAGCCCGGCGCATTCTGCCAACATATGAATCACAGCAGATTGTGTAATAATGTTATCAATTCTACCGGCACCTAAATCTACCACAGGAACACTCTTCATCTTGTACTTGGAAAGCAGCAAGAGCATGGTTAGAAATGAGTTTGATCTCTCTAAAGCAAGAAATGGAGCCCAGCGGAATGTCCCTGAAATATCACCAACCTGTTTGCTAAAAAGTTAGCTATAGTGAAATAACTAAATAAAATTAGGTTAAAATAAGTATATAGCTTGACATTGCAAAGATGGATATACAACCTTGGTATTCTTATAAAGTTCAGAAGAAGTCAGATCCTCAAAAAAGTTTCCTGAAGTTGTTGCAGCTGATCCAAGGCCTAAGGCTTCAAGTTCAAGAGCAAAAGTCATTCCGTTAGCTTTAGCTGCAATAGCACTTGCACTTGATGGAGTTGATGGACTTCTAGGAGATGCGGGTTCAGACTGTCAAGAACATTGTCACATTGGTTATATGTGAAAATGAAGCATCCAAGAAAATTACTTCAATCAACAGGTATCATATCATTATTTAATTACTTCCCCTGTCATACGGTCCATGATTGTATTTAAAACACTATCATGCATGGTAACAATCACATAATCTAACTACCAAAAAGAAATTACATCACCACTGATCACCCACCAAATAGTACATTCATATTAGACATGATAGTAGTACTAGATTTAATTAGACATGTTTTGAATCAAATAAAGTAGAAAATACAAATTGATTGTGAGTTTCAGATTTATATATGTTTTCCCCCTTTTATTCTGAAAGAGTATTAGTAATTGAATTGATGTGACATATGTCTAACCTGATGCAAAATCCATACAACAATTCCAGCAAACTCAATTATTCCAATGTATCTGTCAATCCAACTAGCATCTTCAGGTGCATCAACATCAACCACAGGTGCGCTGAGAACGTTGTGATGTGCCAGTATTTTAACAGCTTCAGCAAGGGTGGCGTCTGATTTGATCTCAATTTCTAAATACAAAACAAACAATTTGCAAGTTGAGACCGAAACCGTAAGAGAGAAACAATAAAGGGCACATACGATAACAGATAATACAAGATGAAAAAGAAATGAGCATCAATTGATAAGGGTCAGCCTAGAATATTTATTTTTGGTGTCATCAAATAATTTATTAATTTTCATCTGGGTAGAATCAAAATCACTTTTTTTTTTTTTGTTGTTGAATCATTTAGTCAATAAAACTCAATCACTAGTCACTACTACCTTGGTTTGAAGAAATCAAAGGAAACGCAGAGACAGGGATGCTTTCAAAACAAGCGTTGAGCTTCTCAGTAGGACTTAGCTGTGGCTCCTGAACATCCCACAGATCCTCCACTCGCATCCCCAGCTTCGCTTCTGGGCTCCGTGGACTCTCTCCCATTGTTGCCAATGCCATTACTCTCTTTTCTCTTTCTCTTTCTCTTTGTCTCTGTCTCTCTCTAACTACAATAATACTGACAAGCTTATAAGACCTCGTTGAAACATTCCCAATAATTAACTGAAAAATAGGATCATCGAATCTACTAACACTTTGCAAACTACTCTCCTACACCTGAGGTTCTCACCGTTGGATTTCTATACTTTAACCTTGATTCATTGACCTGAGTAAACATGTACGGCTACGATGAGGTTACATATTGTGTGTGATGAACATTATTGGTCAACGTGAATAATTATGTCCCCCCCATACTATTCGCTATGCTTATCCAAATTTGCATTATTTTGGAAACACATCCTTATCCGGTTTTTACTATGGGCCACAAAGGTGTGCCGCAGAAACATGAGCTGGGGAGTGCTTTGCGCACATAGGATTGACGATGCTTGCTCTACTAGTGATTAATTATTTATATTCAATCGTGTCTAAGTTTTAAGGCTGAAACATTTGTTTTTGGTTGCGTGGACTGAAACATTTGTTAATTATAAAAGACAACAATGATTGATTAATTATTTTGTACAGTTACATCTCACTTTCATAAACCTTAATATATTAGTGTATACGGTTTGGTGGAGTAAAAATGGCAGAAACTTTAAATAAAAGATTAGTTGAACGTACTAGGCGTGTAAAAAAAAAAATTGAAAGAAGAATTAATTTAAACAGTATTAAAAGAGTTATATTTTTCTTAACTGATTTAAGAACTCAAATATCTTACTTGAATTAGTTCAAAAATTGAATTTTTTTAAATATCTTTGGTTTAACAATTACTAATTTAATTCAAAAGAGAAAAGTGTTTATGATTTTAAATGACATAAATTTATATTATTTTAAGATAGAGATAGACATAAGAAAATATTTTTTTATTATTTTAAGATGATTCCCAATCGATGCAGAGTTTCCAGATTATATATAATTTTCAGCGCAAAACTGAAAAGGATGTTAATTTACCGAAATTCAAAAGCACGAGGTTAAATATTTTCAAGATTATTACTGTACGTACATTAAAGTAATTATCACTTAAAGAATTTCAATTTACTTATTATTTAAAATTTTAAAGTAAAATTAGAGAAGTGTATTTTTTAAAATTAAAAATACTTAATAATTATTTTAATTGTTATACAAAATTTTACAATAAAATTATTCAAAACATGGAAAGTATAATTTAAACATGAGATTCTATTTTCTTATGTTATTGGAGATAGTTATCTCATACAAAACATGAATCCATTACCTATTAAAAAAATAAAAATAATGACATAATTTTTAATGTGAGGATAATATAAAATAGTTATCTCATGTAAAATAAGATAATAATTTTTCTTTAAATATTTATTGAGTTATGTAGTATGACTGTATGACTATTCAATTGAATATAAAATTTTGTTGATGTGATATCTGTTACAGGGACGTGGAGCCGACGTGTCGAACTATAGAAAATAATATCTTTATTTGGATATGACAATGATATTTTTTAACTCTCTCTTTTTTGTCAAATGTGAATTAAAAAAAGAAAAGAGAAGATAAGAAGACCACCTCACCCTTTCTTTTGACCACGGTCTCTGAATCTACTTCTTTCTGGCTTGCCTCAAACTTTGGAATCCAACTCACAATAAAGTGATACACAAATGACAAATTGTAAGGGAGTGAATTTTCTGGTGTAAAAAATTGGTCATGTGATCATGTTATTTAATCATAATTATTTATTGATAATGAGATAAGAGAGAAAAATTATATAATTTTTAAATAAGTAATTGTGATCAAATAATATGACTATTTTTCTACAAGAGATAATCCACTCCCGATAACTAATCCACATGACCACTTTTAAATGAGAACTTTATTTTAAGGGCTTTATTACTTTTTACAAGAAGAGAAAAATCTGTCCTATAGCAACTAATCTAAATATTTTAATCAAATAAACAAGGAGAGAGAAATCCAAGATAAAATACTGAATTTAATAATTATGCATGATAAAATACATGATTAGTTTGGAAAAAATTAATTTTAAAAAATAATTATATAACACGTATTGTGGCTTATACCATAAAAATATATAATATAACTCCATTTTATGATAAATAATTGTTAAAAATAACAAAAATTTGAATGACCTAATTTGTGTTACAACTTACAACACTACACTGGGATTTAGCGGTGGTTTAAAAAATTCTGTGGCCAATTGAAAACCGACTCATAAAATGGTGATGTTAAATAATTTAGCGACGGTTTACTGAAATCGTCAGAATAATCGACGAAAATATAAAACCGACGCAGAATGATACAAACCAATTACTAAAAATAATAAATAATTTTTATTAGTAGCGACGGTTTAGAACCGCCGGTGATTCATGTAATTCAACTTTTTTATATTTATAATTAAATTTTTGTGGTGATTTCAATGAATATAATTTTATTTTTTGGTAAAGATAAATATTTTAAACAGCCATTGAATTATAAAATTCATTTAAATTATATAATTTGACTAACTCTTACAATGATTTCATTGATCATAAATACATTCATTGTCTATAATCAAACCTGTCATCATATCATTTTAATATAAAAAAAAAAACTAAATACAATTTTTAAAAAGTCTAACTTTAAAAATTAATAGATCCAAATATATGACAAAAATAAAGTACATAAGTCTTTTATAAATTAATCATAAAAGTAATCACAATGTCAATACAATTACAAATATTTAAACATAAGTAATCTACTATGGCTGATGAGTAGCAGAATGTGAAGAAGGTTGAGCACGAGAATGTTGCTCCTCTACCTGCATTAAAATTAAAAAAATAATATTTTTAGCACAAATACAAAAAAATTAAATACTTACAAAAGAAATCAGAGCTTACTGGAGCATAAATAACAATAGCGAATTCAACAGGTATATGTAACATATTTTGATACAATTTAGCAAGCATGACTTCCATTGATTTTTTTTTTCTGAACTTCTAACTATAATTGTGACTTTAGCTCTTAAACTTCTTGTTGCATGCTTGTGTCAGTAGAGGGTCCTCCAATAGAATTACTACAACCACTAACATTGTATCATTGATGACTAGATCCAAAGATTTGTGAAGGACAAACACGAGGAACACCTCTAACTCGTCTGGGATGTTCTTTACCAAACACTTGGCCAAGAGAATCATTAATGAAAAATTCGAGTCTGATTATCTTTTTGTTAATATTGTGTTTAGCATTAATGAAAATTAAAATTAATTTGGTTCGAATCCATTTAACTTTAAAATTAATTCTTGCGTCTAAAAATTACTATAAAAATATAATTTGAATCAATTTGCAGTTTTCATGTTTAGAAGTTCAAATACACAAAAAATAAACTTTAACATGCTTTCAATGGAAGTCACCTAGTAATATCACCAATTAAAAGTTGCATTAATTAAAAAAATATAAGTAAATGAGAATGGAAACTACAAAAATAAGATCAAATAAAACACTTACACAAACAATTTGAGCTTCTTTATTGATATATGTTCCATCTTTCTTCTTATGAGTAAGGATATACAAGTTACCCCTACTTACTTGTTGTCCAGTTTGACTCATCTATTGCATTAAAAATATTTTCAAATGTCAACATCATATAATGGTGTAAAAACAAGTAAAAAGAGCATTATTATGAAATGTTATCTAATCCTTACAATTTTACAGCCTTTCTCCTAAGCTTTTTAGAACCACCAGTGTGGTTAATTGTGAGCTTAGCTCTATTGAGAGCATTCTTTTCACATATCTCCTGTAAAAACAAAATTACATTTGTATAGAATTTGAAAAATAAAGAAACATTAAATGCAATTGTACCTGAGTCTTTTTATGCAATTTGTAATCTATAAATGAAGCCCACTCAATTTTCGTGATTGGCAATGGGGGATTACTAATATTTTCTTCGCGACTTTTGGTCGACTCATAATACTTATCGAACAATCTTTTTCTATTTTCTTTCCACTTCTTTCCAATATCCTTCATTATATATGCATATGCAACAGCTTCGTGGATGGGTTCCCACCATAATTTTGCCTTAACAAATAAATTCAATAACGTAAAATACATTGTTATTATGTTAACAATTATTAAAATATATAATTAGTAATGAAATTACTAAAACATATACCTTTATTATGTCTACCCAACCTTTATCCTTAAAAGATGATTTGGGAACTTTTCGCCAACTTTTAAAACTAATAGGAAAGGCCTTATGGTCTGCCCCTAACTGACCCAGAAATATCCCTAATAGGCCATCAGCATCTGTACCACATTGGTTGCGTCCATCAAAAGAAATAACAACCCTTTATGTAGTTGAAAGCAACCAAAGATCACTAATCGTTAAACGAGCTTCTCTCATTTTTTCTTCATCATCTGAACAAAAATAAAGTTAATCACTATAAGTTTAGTTTAAGAAATGAGTATGATAAAGAAATAGAACAGTCAATAACAAAAATTCTGTTTTTTTTAAGTTTTTCATTTTGATTATCTCTTAGTGAAAGATATTTTGTTTGTGTAGAAAATAAAAATATAATCATCTGCCAAATGTTAAGACCATGCATACTCATACTTGCAATAATAAACATGTGTAGATTGCAAACGAAGGATGTTTATAACAACTAAAGGTGCACCCTTTTCCAGCGAACAAAATAGAAACACCCGACTAATTCAAATTCTTGTGTTTTGCAAGACAATAATAAAAAGAAATATCATGGGGAAAAAAATTACAAAAAAATTGACATATGATTTATTACTAGCATAGATAACAAAAAGAATTATGTTTATATTTCTAACATGTCATTTCACACCAGCAAAAAATTTAATTGAAACGGAATAATACACACAAGTCTATGACGTTAAGAGTTATATAGAATTAGGTAACAAAACTTTGTCAAATAAATAATCATCACTTCTCCAAAAATCAAAATAACTATCCAAATTAAAACAACATATCTCTAACTTGCACTATCCAATATTGTCTCTTTTGTCCAGCAAAT